ATTGGATTGATGATCTTAAAGGTCTTTTCCAACCTAAAAGATTCTATGATAAAGTACTGCAGGCGTTATTTGTCTCCCAAGAGCAAGCTGTTACCTGTTAGAAATGTCGTGAGGTTTCTGTGGGCAAAGCTGGCCAGTAGTGAAGGCTTTGTAACCAATGACATGCCTGCTTCGTAGGAATCTTACAGCTAGTTCTGCTCTTGGCACTGGAGTTAGCGGCTGCAGGGTAGGAGCAGAGTCACCACATCCTTTGGGCTGGACAGGCCCTGTCAGGGCTTGAGCCCAACCTCCTGCTTAGAGCGGGTCCAGCCATGAGATCAGATCTGGTAGTCAGGGCTTCACCCAGTCTGGCCTTGAAGCCTCCAAGGAAGGAGACACCACCACCTCTCTGCAGCTCTGCTCTGATGCCTGGCCATCCTCATGAGGAACATGTCCTCACTCATGTCCAGTTGGAAGGTCTCACTGCAGTTTAAACCATGGGGCTGAGCTGCTGTGAGTAGCCTCCAGTTCAACTACTGTAATTGATACTGTAACGTACCAAATGCTTCTAACATGTTAAGACTAAACTTCCTAAGTTGTCCAAGAAGGAGATTCCACTACATTTAGTAGATGTAATGGGTTTTATTACGTAACTGAAAATTAACAACATAACTTGCAGAAGAAACTGCATTCATGTGCTAAACACTGGGATTCTTCCTAAGAAAACGAAATTGAGTGATACTTTATAACTTTGCCACCATCAGGGCATTGTACATTCATTTTTTTGTCAATATGGTTTATAAAAGCTAATTGAATTTTGTTTCATACGCTTAAACAGGCAGCCAACATTTACATGTTAATAATAACACCTGAACAGGAAGTACGCGATCTCCAAGGAAACATCATCGCACGTACTGGCTTATGTAAACTATTTCAAAGACAAATGAAATGCTTTAGTTTTACTCCTTTGCATTGTTTGTACTGAAAAGAATGTTAATTCTTTTTCCAGTATTTGAGGTATATTTTTCACAATATACTGTAATATCAATTTCTGTTCAAGGATACTTCGTTTAAAGTGCAAAAATTCACTAAAGCCATTTGGAACATAAACATTTTGTGTATATTTTCATAGACTTGCAAGGAAATCTTTTGTTCTTCACATTTTATTTTGATTTAAAAAAATATATATATACACATTCATTTGTCCTTGCAATGCAGAAGAGTTTAGAGAAAATTTACTTTAGAGCGATCGACATCTTTGGCATCAAATGATTTGAAAGGAAATTACAAAATGGTCCCCAATACCTTCAGAATCTGTGGACAGTGTGGCTTTTACGGCACCAAATACGCTCTTAGCAAAAGTGGTTGCTGAAGGCACTCTGTATGGCTTTTGAGTCGCAGGCTAACTCCTGTGTGACGGTGCAGCTTCAGCGTACACGGACACATCACGTTCATTTCTCCTTGCAGTTCAGAGACATCAAAGGCACGGCAGGAAAGGCTGTATCGTGTATGGCTGTTGCAATAGATTCAGCTGTTGAGGAGGTTGTATGTTCTCCAGTTGTACTGGGGAGCAAAGTAATGGTGTGTTTTTTTTGGGTTTTTTTTTTCCTGGATCGTACTATTTCACCAAAGCTAGGTGGCAGTGCAAACTTATCTAGCTGAAGAAACTTCCTGTAGTAGCAGAGCAGTGGTTTGAACCATGTTTCCATTCAGTCATTTATCTTTCTGCTGAGTGGCTTCTGAGGATGCCTGTTTGGATGGTATTGATCTGACAACTTCACAAAAATTCAGGCTAGCTGTCCAATTGACTCCCTTATGAAGTAAGTACTTCCAGGTAAAGGGTGGTGTATCTAAAGATAAAATTTGGCCCAGTAAGGTTGGCATTTGGAGTCCTTTGGGTGTGTGTTTCTTCATTTTGTCACCATGTGAAGTTAGTTTTTCTTTTTCAGGTCCTGGAAGAATGCTACTATGCCAAGTAATATAGAAAAATCTTCAAATAAATAAAAATAAATACTTGTTTTCAAAACCCCCCCACAGGACTCTTTCATTGGAGAAGTCCAAAACATCATGGCAGCAATATCTGAGGAAAGGATTAAACAACTAATTCTGTCATGCTTGCAAGTACCATGTTGTAGACAGCTGCAAATTAGGATCTCCAACACATTACTCGTTCTACAGCTGAGAGAGGATTCTGTGCTCCAGCTCAAGGCTACCACACAGAATTCCCTGCTCTGAATCCACTTTTGACCTTCCTGGTTCTGGCTTGCCTGGGTGTGTCTGTGTCTCTGCAGTGTTGTGGCTGTGCCTGTGAAGCCAAAGTTTACGAGGTTACCTTCAGAAGCCCAAGAAAGCTTCTGATAGCTGTTTTCTACATCCACGTGCTCTTCTTACGGTCCCTTTCACTGGTTTAAGGTAATTTACCCTTGGAAAATGAGGGTGGATTTGTTCTTGAATGTCTAAGCAAAAGATTATTGAAACTTGAAAATGAAAGAATAACTCATGCTAATGTTTGTGAGATCTTATTTTTCCAGGGTTGCCCGACCATTTTTACTTTCTAGTTCTCTCTGGTAAGTAATTCTTCTTCTCTTTATCTTTAGTGTTGTTCTGTCGGTTTGAAACCAGGTATATATATATTTGGTATTTCAGATATTACTGAGGAGACTTCAAAATGTTTTACCATTTTTATATTAGAAAACCAACAGTACTCTAAGGCGTAGTCCTCTGTACAGTCCAAGGAACTAAGCTGTATTTTGTAAGAGCGAGTGAGCTCAAGACCAGTCTTCTTGTCACTGATATTTCTCCTGTGAATTAACCTGATTCTTAAATTCTTCATTTAAAAAGCAAACATTTACTTGCCATCTTAGTCATTTTTGTTCCCACTTGTAAAACTCCAGCTCTCTCTTCTGTTCTTGTCTTGAGAGACCGGTTTGTATTGCCTTTTGAAAAAGCCAATCTGAAATACATAATTTTGGAATCTGTTGTCAGAACATTGTTGTTAACAAATCCAAACCACAACACATGAAGTAAAATAAAATAGATGTATATGGTGTTTATGAATGATGGTATTGGCCATTCCTTTCTCATACCAAGTAATCAAGTGTTACTCGTCAGTCAAAAAAGTGGGTTTGCTTTTTCTTTTACTTGTTGGGAAGCTAATACTTTCCTGCCAGGAATAAGGACACGTGGGCTTGTGAACTGTAACAGGCCACAGAATCCAGTATTTTTACATGTGAAATGGTAATAAAACTTTTCTTGTTAAGTTTGTTTCATTTCTACAATTCCCTGGGAAAATCAGTGGGTGAAGAAAGTCTGCATGTAAGTAAAGAAGTTAACAGTCTCTTAATCGCTTGTCAGAGAAGCTGCATCCTTCCTTCGTAGTTTTCTTTATACTTAACAAATCCTGTGCTAAGTATTTATGTTGCAGTCTAAAAATCTAAAACATTTTATTCGGCATGAAACTAAACTGTTAGTCATCATGTGTCAAGTCACATTACGTGTGGAGCACCATCCCACAAAAATGATCCATTTGATAGCATTAAGTTATGGCATCTTATGTTTGCCAGTCATGTGTATATGAAACATGGGAAGGGGTTTGTGGTGTTGTTCAACAGAAGGTGTAGAATATGAGAAGATAAAATGAAGGAAAATGGAGAAGTATTTTGAAAAAACACAAGTTACAGGAGGAATTATATTTCTTCAGAAAGGACAGACTGTAATAAAATGTTACTGATCCTTTAACCTGCATTAATAGATCCAAAGAACCACCACCAGGGTGAATTCCTGACTTCAGAACAACTGAGAAATACTGAAAACCTACCTTCCATAATATAAATGAGAGAAGCAAAAACAAGGTAACACCAACTATTAAGCCTATTCCAATAATTAGCACAGTGACATGGTATTTTGGCTTTTGGTGGTGCACTCCTTCCAAATAGACCTGGAAAGCAGAAAAGAAGTTTAGACATTAAGAATGTAATTAATTTTCCTAGATTTTTTTTAACAGTATGTATTCATTTCATGTGTGTAGATATGTATAGAACTCCACACTTACAAGGGCTGTTGGGTTTTTACTTTAAAAACATCACCACAAATTCATTAAGAGAATTCTTACATATGCAACTTGCTTGTCCTTGTGAAGCTCAATAACTTTTGCATTTTTTTCTGGTGAGGCTGTCGCTCTTACTTCAAACTTCAATGCTGTTGCATCATCCTGATTAAAGAAAAAATAAATCCTATCTTTTAAAAAATAACTTCAACACATTAATTCCTACTTAGCAAAAATGGTGACACAGCTGCTCGCAGAAACAAAATCTCACAGAAACACACAATGGCGCCTTTTTCTGATCACAAAACAAATTAGGACTAGAAGCTGGAATGGAGCCCAGTTGGATTTTACTTAAGTCCACATCCACGCTGCTGTTCTCAGAAAAGTACAATTATGAGTTGAAATTAAATCCCAGTCCAACGTGACCCAGCCAGAACAGGCAAAGCAATACGTACTAGTAAGTTATGATCTAAAATACCTGTTTTTCAGTGTTTTTCCATTTCTCTTACATTGCCTTGAGACTTAGCATTGGAAACATAAAATAGCTAACACCTAGAAGATTTGGATTTAATCATACTGTTTACAGACATCTATTAATACCTATGATACTGCAAATATGCCTTGAAATACTCCCCTCTCAAGTATGAAAAATTCATGTGTTACCATTTCTAAAAGGGCAGGGGTAGCCTCCAGCTGCAACTGAATGGTTGCTTCTTTCCCACTCTCCATGTTTCCAAGCTTGCAGTATATTTGTAAGCAGAGGCTGTCATTTTTCATGCAGTACTGTAAAAGGGAGTGAAAGATTAAAACTCAGTTTTATCAGTTTCTCATCTTAGTATTAAAGATACTCAGGAACAGAGTAAAACAAAGCTCCATGTTTGTTCTTTGAAAGGTCAGGGTGTTACTCTAGGTTGTCATGCATCACTGCCAATCCTTAGGTGCTAAAGGAACAGTACAAGGGACCTGACCTAGTTGTTACAGGAGACAACACATCATTTCTTCTTAAAAATTCAATATTTAATTTTTTTTACTGTTATTTCAAGTTAGCTTTTATCAAGATTGATACATGACAGTGACTATATGATATCCAGTATAAACAGCATAATTGATTGGTACTAGCTGTCAGTATACAAGGACCATGTCACTCAGCTCTGGAGAAGACAAAAAAGCAAGCCTGTATGTGATTACATTCACTAAGACTGCAATACCCATACTCTGATTTGGCATTCGAGTGCAGGCTGCCTGTCAATCACTGGTTGATGTTCCTTGTAACATGCTTATTTAAAGCTTCTTTTAAGATGGAAGTATTACACAAAATTGTACTTTATCAAACACAAATTGCAGGAGACAGATTTCTATGAGAACAAACTCTCAAAAAATATAACACCAGAATAACAATTCTGGTTTGGATGACACAGTTGAGTATCTGCTGTCCAGCAGAGACCATAAGCAGGTACAGAGGGATGAGCCTGAACAGACCAGGCACATACACTATTCTCCCAGCCTCACCAATAATTTTAAGAACAACTTCCCCAGCCAAAAAATATTTCTGTATGTTTTGTAATTCTCAATGACTTTCAGTGCCATCAACTTGCGTAGTCTCCCTTGGAAGTCACTTATTTGTAGCATTCATCACATCCTTCAGTAAGAATTTCCACTGTGAGTACGTATGTTTTTTTTTAACCTGGCTCCCATTAGTTACATTAGGCAGTTACAGTTAGGCAATGAATATTTTATCTGCATACTCCATGTAATTAATACTGGTTTTCCCCACATGCATCAGTTTTTATTTGTTACTGAGCTTCCGTGATTCTCTGCCTGCTCATTCAGTTACACAACCCTTCGGCAGTTCTTCGTAGGTGACTCTCATCCCCCTCACTTCAGTGACATGCAACTAATCAACTTCCTCATCTCAGTTCTCACCTTTTTCACTGAAGTCACAACTTTGCTGACCTTCCTACAGGTCCCACCACAAATCCTTGGATCCCACTGCTCTGGTGACCTCATTACATAAGATATACCACTATATCAAGGCTCATTCACGCAGTCATTTATTTCCCACCAATGCCAGAAGACAGACCTTACCATTTGTCTCTTAGCAGGCTTTGAAAAGAAAGTGACAACATCCTTTAATATGTTTTCATTTTTTTCTACTGTGCTACAGTTTCTGGGATACTTATTATAGAAGCATTGTCCAGCTGTTGTCTGGCAATAAAAATAACATAACCGCTGTTAAACATCAGATAATAATCAGAATACAGATATCAGAGAAGCAAGAAGGGCAAAAGGAATGCAACTTTTACTTTCAGAATTCTAAACCACATAAGGCTGAAGATAGATCATCCTGTTCTTGTTCACTCTGCTTCACCTAGCTAATAAACTTGCAGGCGTCTGTGGACAGCGGGTTACACAGCATTTTCAGGGAGTGGGTATGATTAAACCAGAAGGGGGCTTGAGGTGTCCGTGCCCATTTGAGTTGACTGCAGTAGGCATATTTAGGCGAACTTCAGGCATAAGGAACTTCTTGCACCCTATTTTAGCTGATGTGTATGAATATTAATGTTCTGCAAAGACTCTATATTGTATGTTCTCATAATGAAAGTTCTGTTTGATATGAAATAACTAAGACTGATAGACGAGAGTCTTTGAAGAGTTACCCAATGCAGAAATTCTTTGATTTGTTTTAATACACTGTATTCTCCTCAGTAGCAGGAAAGAATTGGCAAACACAAATACAGATGCATGTCAAGGATCAAGCTTTGCACAGATGGATTCTCTGAGTTCAGTGGGACTTTGATAAGGACCTAAGGTATTGGGTTTGCTTGAAAGAAATGGAACACATACTTAGTACCTGGTTCTGCTATGCTCTGCTTCCCTCTCATAGAATTCATACAGCTAATAAAATGATATTAAGTAACCTGTGCTTACCTTGATATCCAGTATGTTGAATAATTTTAAGTCATTGGGTGGAAATGCGTTAGGTATCATTATCTCCAGGTTTGTATTTGGAGCCATGCTTGGTCCTGCACTGATAACCTTGTGGGAAGAATGTTATAAATTTAAAGTTTTAATTCATGGTAGCTATTCAAGTAACTATATATATAAAAAAATATATATCCATATATATTTAAGAATCATGGAATCATAGAATGGT